TAATAATAATAGCACTGTTAAATAAATTTAAATAAAAAATAGATAATAAATAAATCTAAATAAAATATGAAAAATAAATTGTAATTTATATTTGTATATACCTTTTCTTACTAGCTCTGTCTCTGACTGATCTCAAAATCGAATTTCATAAATTAAATTAACGCTTTTCAAAGCCGAGCATAAAACCGAAATTGAAATGGCAAACAATAATATTTTATTAACACTCTACAAGACATTAAGATTCATATAGGAAACTCAGCGCAAATATCCCATGCGATTTGTGCACAAACTCTGAATAAGTCTCTCTTTCTCTCTCACACAAGCTGCGCTCACCGCAATCTCGAAATACCTGAGAGGCGAAACACCTGAGCGGCAACACGTCGATCGTCAAGCAGCTGCCTCGTGGCTGTCATCGTGGCTCATTACGAATTCGTTCGTTGGCTCGCGAACAAGCAACAAACCGCAGCAGCAGCAGCAGCAGCAAAATCGATCGACGCGCATGCGCAAAACTAAAATAAATAACATGTAAACAGATTTCTATAAAGTTTTTATTTTTTTTCTATATATGTAGTTAAATTTGATGTGAGCGTGTGTTGGTGTAGAAATCGCTGAAACATAAATAACAAGCCCGTTCTTCTGTTGACGCTATAATTTATGTGCAATTGAGCTGAGAGCCGGCAAAGTGCGTGCAAAAACAAACAAATTTACTTACATACATATTTATGTATGTGTATAAACAAATATCTAAATTTCTGTAAAAAAAATACGAGCAGCAGACAACAAAAGTTCTCAGGGCAGTGAAGTGCTTTGCAATTAAAAGACCCAAACAAATAAATAATAAAAAGAATGAAGTGTTTAATTATCATTTTACCGGCTGTAAATCAAAATAATTAACATTCAGCTCACGCGCTCTCACTCTCTACTCTCTCGCTCTCTCCTTCTCTCTCTCTTTTTCTCCAAAACTGCCCCTTGACATATATTATAAATAGAGAAAAAAATAAAATAGTTTATCGATAATTTTAATGACGTCAATATAAACAAAAATACAACAAAGAAGCTGTTGACCGAGTAAAGCCTCAACCACATAACAAAGTCAACAAAAGGGTTTCAAAACCCGGCTAAAGCAGAAAAACAATAATAAAAACTGAAAAGAAAGTGCTAGAAAAATATAAATAAAACTTGTGTTTAAACACTTTAGTATATGCTAACAAATTAAGGTTCAAAGTTTTGCCGTAAGTCGTACGAGTCGCACGACTCGATCAGAATGTTGAGCCACCCTAACTATCTATAGCGAGCTGAGCGCGCAAATTGTGATCTAAGCATATTTTTGACAATTCATTGATTGGTCATTCATTGCGACTCCCCCCCCACCCCTAACGGAGTCTAATGAGCGCTTACTTGTGCTGCCTCAATGGCACTTGCACACTTTAGTCGAGCCTTAAGTTAATTTTACACTAATTACTAATTCTAAGGCATATTCTAAAGGTGTGCCAATCACTCGGCTGCAATTTAGAAAAGTCTATTGCTGATGAAAGACAGAAATTTTTAAGTGTTCTTTATTGATTACTCATTGAAAATTGATAAGCAGTAAAAGGTTTGCATTCAATATAAATAATAAAATTACTCTATAAATTATTTATAGATATTCTTGACCGGTGACAATAGCCAAGTTAAATTAGGCCTTCTCTATTTCCCTATTCCTATTTCCTATTTCTTTTTTGTGTCCTCAAATTCTGAAGCTAATAATATAGCTATAGATTTTTCTCTACTCGTGCATATTTTATTCCACTTAATTTCCATTCAATCTACCATGAAAAGCCTAAGACATAAGTATACATCTCTAGATTAATGTTTTAAACTGATTTAATTCATTCCATCAGTTCATAGATAACAAAATTTATAATTATAACTAATAATTTTATAATTTGGTGTCTATTATTTAAATATTTTTATATATTAGCTCTCAATACTACAAAATGAACTCAGTCGAAGTTGTATTGCAAAAATAGCAAATCCTAAACGTCTTTGCTTATCATTGACAATTTTTGATTTATTATACATTCAATTAAGTGAACCCTCTTACGGATCTGTATATCTTCTAGTCGAACACGCCATTAATTATTTTAGTGTTATTTATGTAGGGATTATCACTAAAGTGAACGATAAATAGAATATTATCGATATTAGCTATTGTGTTAAATGAAAAATCGAAGAGTATTCAATTCTACATTCAATTCTATAGAAATTAGCAACAGCGTCGCGAAAATAATAAAGTCATTCGCACTAACTACTACACTAGCTAAACAGTAACTAAATTCTGTTCTGAGTTAGTTGCGTATTACATTTCAAACTGGCATATTCACAGTTTTCTGCTATATGCATTCTAATTATCGCGACTCGATTGTATACAGATTTACAATGCTTTTCTTTGTTTATACAAATTGAAATGATTAAGAGTTTTAAAGAAGCTGACTTGCCTCCCAACTTCAAATACTTTCAGTGACTTGAAAATTAAAAGATCTGTGTGTACTTCTATAAAAGCTACAATATCTGTCTAAGATGTGCATCAAATGTCAGTCGATTTCTAGAAGAAATAGCAATTCTATTTAGAATGAACTCTCTATGCAACAATCGTGAAAGCTCAACGCGAATTCGCACACTTAACTTACCACGTCTCAACTATATTTATACTATATAATATATAATGCTAGATTCGATAATATTATATATAAGATATATGCATATAATGCGATTTTCCCAAGTTTTGAAAGCTTTGTGTAATCAACTTAAGCTGAGCTGTGTAATTTAACAATATTTAATTATGGCTAATTTGCTGAGGTGTTTTTGTTGATTGTAGTTTTGGGCAYGGCAACGCAGCACAGCACAGCACAGCTTCCCATATTGACAAACGATTC